GACCCCCGCTCCGGGTCGCAGCACTCCAGGGCCCGCTGCTGCCCCAACGCGGACCTCGAGCTGGATGATGTTATCGGCCTGTAGGTGCCCACATTCCCCGCGCCCTTTCCCCCCAGCACCCCATTTCTGTATACATAAACGACCAAGGTTTGTGCCCCGGGCTCTGTCTGTTCACTTTTCATGTAGAGTGATGGGGAGGGGGATGATGTGGTCCGGCAGCCTTTAATAGCCAGAGGTGTCAACTGGAGTTGTGGTGGAGGTCTGATGCTTGCTCCGGAGTGGTGAGATGCAGCTCCTTGAAGATACCCCTGGGGCGTGGCCAGGCGGGCCCCTCCCAGAGGCGGGGCTCCGGACCAGACCGCTCCCACAGCCTCACTCATTCATCAAATACTGACTGAACGCAACTGCCTGTCGGACATGGTCTCTGGGGTCGGACCACGGACTCAGCCCTAGCAGGGCCAGCCTAGGCGGGGCCAGCAGACTGCTTCCTGGCCCTGCGCATCTCAAGTGGACCGCGACCAGGCGAAACCGCCCTTTACTCTGGAAGCGGCAGCAGAACCGAGGGAAGTGGCCGCGAAGAGGCTCATAAGACGTGGTCTCCACGGGAGAGATACCCTTGTTCGCCGGAGGGCTGCGGCGAAATCCCAAGTCTGGGCTGTGAAGTTAAGTCTGAGGCCTCAAGTTCTTTACGGTCCCAGAGGTGCGGGGCCGTACATGCAAATCATTTAGACTAATGGCGGGGCCAAGTTAGCTAAGGTCCCCTAGAGGAGCTACGTTTAGATACCAGACGGGCGGGGCCGCACATGTAAATCACTGGGGTTGGGGGCGGAGCCAGGTTCTTTAAGGACCCGGGAGAGACCGGACACTTTGGGGCCTAGGGGCGGGGCCAGGCTTCCCCGGAGCTCGCCGGGACCAAGACTGCAGGCCTCATAGTGGAGGGAGATTGGTTGTCGGGCGCCAAGCAAAGGCGCGGCCGGGAGGGACAAACGAAGGACGGACGGGGCCAAAGTCCTTGCAAGCGCCGGGGGCGTGGCCTCCGGGCGGAGCCGGAGCGCGGGCCGCTGACGCCACAGTCCAATTACGGAGCTCTCCAGGCTGGGCTGGCCTCCGCGGGGCTGGCGCGCCAGCTATCCCCACACCCATGTCGGATGCCGGAGAGCTGAAGTTGCAGCTGGAGGCCCCCGCTGCAGAGCCTGGGTCCCCGCCGGCCTGCCGCTTCTTCCTAGAAGGCCGCTGCCGCTTCGGCGCCCGCTGCCGCCAGTTCCACCCCGGGGCGCCCGCGCCGGCGCCGCTTAGCCGAGGGGAGCAGGCCGAAGCCGGGTTCAAGAAGCCGCCGCTGCGTACCGCCGCGGCTGTCATTCAGCGCATTCGCTGGGACCCGCTCCTCGACCCCGCAGACTTCTCGGTGGGCTACGCCGATCGCTTCCTGGGAGTGCGAGAGGAGCCATTTAGCGCCTTCTGCTGGGATGAACCTCTGGCGGCGCTTGGGCCTGGCGTTTTGGCCGTGCCTCAGCACCGCGTGCGTTATTTCCGCTTCCGCGGTCGCCTAGTGTGGGATCGCGCCTCGCGCACTGACCTCGTTTTTGGCTCAGGCTCGGCGACAGGCCGCGGCCCCACTATCCTGGACGCTCTGGACTGCAGGGATGAACATGTTGGTGAACGAAGCAGAGAAAACACGGACGAGGGCCCAGAGTGCAGGAAGCCCAGGCTGCCCGTGGGGGAAGGAGCGGAAATCCGGCCTGGATGGAGTTCCGAGTCAAGCTTGGAGGAACCTGGAATGCTGGGCAGCCAAGGAGAGGAGGCTGAGGGCGGCCATGGACTCGAGAATACCACCCCCTAGCAGGCACCTCTCAGGAGAGATGGAGAGGGCACTGATGGCAACAGCGACCGCCAGAGCCACGGAACTGCCAGGCAGGGAAGCGCAGGCCCTAGAAGCTGAGTGGGGTCCCCGGGCTTGGCCTGAGGATGATGAAGGGCTGTACTAGCTAGGACTGTGGCTCCTCGCCAACCCTGCCCCATATATTTTGTGGTCCTCGTGGTAACTGAGTCCAGGCTGCAGGTAGACGTGGCCAAGGCCCAGGAATACCTGGTCCAAACCACTCCATCTTGTGCTGAGTTCCTGATGCCTGCACCTGACACTTGCCCTGCTGTGGTTGGCAGGCCTCGGGGAGGAAGTGGCAACAGTGGGGGCTCTGAGACAGGCCCTGTTGGCCACAGGGTTTCAAGCATCCCCCCAGCTGAGTTAGGGACTTAGTACTCCTGGGCCACTGATGTGTTGTCCCCTCCAAAACTTGTGGAAATTTGATTCCCAATGTGGCAGCAATGGAAACTGATTGAGTCATGCGGGCGGATCCCTCATGAATGGATTGATGCTCTCCGTGGGGGAGGAGGGGTGGCGGGTTCTCACTCTATTCCCGTGAGAGCTGATTGTTCAAAAGACCCTGGCACCTCCTCTCTCTCTCTCTTCCTCTCAGCATGCAATCTGCTTGCACCTACTGGCTGCCTGCCACTTTCTCCCATTAGAAGCAGCCTGAGGCCCGTGCCAGATGCAGCTGTCCCAGAATCGTAAGCCAAATAAACCTCTGTTCTTAAATTACCCAGTCTCAGGTACTTCTGTTATAGCAACACAAAACGGACTAATACAGCCACCGTGTGCTTTGTGCCCAACCCTCCCCCACTGGAAAGCATGGCCCAAAGTGCTGAGCCAGAGGCTGGAAGCCCAGAGGCTGAGAGTGCTGCAACCCTGACAGGGATGCAACCCAGCCTCACCCTGGCCATAGTGCCTGATGGTTCCCATGTCCGCCTCCCCGAGACTGTTCAGCCTGAGTCAGGAGCTAGGGAGCCATCCACTGGGGAAACTGGCTGTGCTGTACGGGGAGGACAGGAGGCACCTACCAGTTCCTGGCTGAGATAGCCCTGGGGTGACAGCCCCAGAGCTCTGTAGGAGACAAGTTGGATCCAAACAGCTTAAGGAAGGACAAAGCACCCTCTCTCTCTCTCTTTAATTTTGGTTTCTCTCAAGCTTCCAAATGGCGCTCAGTGCTCCAAAGAAAGAATGAAGGAAAGGGGAGGGGGAGAGGAGGGAAAGGGGAAGCAAAGGAGGAACATCTGGAAAAAAAGCAGCCTGACAGTCCAGCTGTTTGCAAACTCATAGCACATCCTCCAGTTACATGGCAGAAGAGGGAGGGAGGACGGAAAAGAAAAGGGTAGGGGGAGAAAAATAACTTAAATAAACACACACAAAAAGAAAAGAGGAAACATGACGTGAGCTGGTGATCCATGAGGTGGGGGAGGGAGGGAGGGAAGAATAATCATTTTACCTGTGCTGAACCAAGGGAGGAAAAGGAAGCAGGAAGAGGAGGAAGGGAAAGGGGAAAAAAAATCAGAAGAAACATGGGGGGTAGAGGGAGGAGGGAACACGGAGACAACTTAATACAACTTGAGACGAGGCGGCCTGGCCAGCAAGGTCCCACGATGGCCTCCGGAGTCCTCAGTGCGGTGTGATGGTGTGGATCTGGAGGTGATGGTGCTGGTGTAGGCATTTCTGGGGTGGGGGGGTCAAGGGCAGGGCATAGTCTCTAAGCAGCTCCCCTCACCCCAAACACTGAGGCCTCAGAGGGCTGGGCAACAAGAGTCTATGATGAGGCAGTCGAGGTGGCAGGCAGTGGGCTGGTTTGCTGGGCGCCCCCGCTGCAGACGGGCACGGGCTGGACGGCCTGTCTTCTTTCCACTGGCCCCCCAGCATGGGATGGGCCAGGGCGCCAGGTCAGGTACCGCAGTACAAGCTCGAGAGAGAGAGAGAAAAAAACACTGAGACAGCATTAGTGGAGGTGAAAGGTGGACACAGATGAGCCTACACCCCAACCCTCCACTGTCCCACCCACTCCTCCCCCAATCCCATCCCTCTGAGGCAAAAAATAAAAATGTAGAAAAAAATCTCTATACAGACTCCCTGGTGGGAAAACGGGGCAGGGACAGTGGCTCTTCCTGGAGCCTACTCCCTGCGAATTAATTTACAACCCAAGTCCATGGCTCAAAAACAAAATCCGCAAAGGCGGTGCTGGGGGGCTACAGCCCTTGCCCCCCCACCCCGTCCTCGCTGGGTGCTCAGAAGGCTGACAGCTGCGCCAGGCTGAGGCGGCAGTCGATGCTGGAGTTGTCCGGGCCCGTGTAGGCCAGGCCCAAGGGCTCTAGGAAGGCCCGACAGGCGGCCTCGCCCTCGAAGGCCAGCTCGGCCTGCAGGTAGGAGACTGGCAGCGCAGGGCGGAAGCTACGGAGACAAGAGGAGAAAGTGATGAGGCGCGCAGGTGGGGTGGGGGAGGGCCCCACAAGCAGGCAGTGGGTACCCCCTGTTTGGACACCCACAGGGTCTCCTCAGCACTGTACTTGCTGGCTCCCCAACCCCCTCCCAGCCTCCCCGCCTCAGGGGCTTGGGGGGGCCCGGGGTGGGGTTGGTGGCCCCAGTCCCCAGTTGTGCCCCCCCTCACCCTCACTTACCTGTGCAGGGGACCAGGAAGGAGACGGGTAGGAGGGGAAGGGCCAGGTTGGCTCCTCCGCTGGCTGAGGGCCAGGGGCCAGACAAGGGAGCAGAGCTACTCTAGAGACCCCACCCTTCGATGCTTTCCCTGCCTTGGGTCAGCCAGCAATCATTATGAAACGCATAAAGCAGTAACTTTTGGTTGCCGTTAAGGAACACTACTGTCCACTTTTATGTGCTAGGAAACAGCTTTTATGTGAGCTTACTGTTAACTCACTGGACCTTCTCCTATAGGCCACGTTGCTTTACCTTCTACACACACTCAGTGAATAAGTAGCACTAAGAAGTGGAACCTGGTTCTACCTCCACAGCCCAAGCTACCTCACAGCACTGGAAGTGGGCAGATGCCCCACCTCCCACCCAAGCTGGCCTCCCAGACCCCTGCAGGACATGGCTCGGATCTGTGGAGGGACACATCTGCCAAGGAATGACAGTACCAACTCCACAGGCGGAAAGGTGCTGAGAGAAGGAGGTCGACAGACCAGGGCCCCACCCACAAGGGATATTCATGGCTATGTCGCCAACCAAGGCCTATTTTATATATAAATATGGGGAAACTTGCCCAACCACACATCCTGAGTGCAGCACTGGAGCTAGAGAGCTGCCAGTCATGGAGCCTGTCAGGCTACAGAGAGCTGGGCAGCATCACTGCCGCCTCCTTCCTCATCACTTTCCAAGCCAGGAATTAAATCCCGTGCATACCACATCCCACCCCCCGCCCTCTTCTGTTCCATGGCCCCTACCCTGGCTCAGCCTCTCTCTTCAGTCTGCTTGACCCAAACTAGACTCTAGAATGAGCATCCCACCTTCAGGGTGACGGTCCCTCTCCAGCTCCAAGCCATCCCATGGTTCCCCAGCACTTTCATGAAAAAGGCCATGCTAACCAGCTTGGGGTTCAAGGTCCCTCAGATCTACAGGCCAATGACCAGGGGGTCTCAACCTCAGCAAGACTGTCTTTTGGGGCAGAAGATTTTGTGGTGGGGACTCTCCTGTGTGCCCTATGTTTAGCAGCATCTCTGGCCTCTACCCATTTGATGCAGGTACCATGCCCTAACTGTGTCAACCAAAAATGTCTCCTGACACTGCCCCATGTCCACTGAGGGCCTCAACCCACTGACTGAGAACCTTAGGCCTAAATGTGAGGCAAGTGCAATGCCTGGGGAATAAAAGGTATGCTCAGTGTGGGACGGCCTGGCCCAGCCAAGAGCCTCAATGTGCCCACCTCCCAGTGTGGCTGGTCCCCCATCACACCTATTTCCCTAGTCACCTCTGGCATGCTCAAAGGAACTCAAGTGGGAACAGGGCCTTGTCCCATTAGACCAGAAGCTGCCAAAAGCAGAGACTACCTTTCCTAGTTTGTCTTTCTCTCTACAGAGTGGGAGCACGGTGACAAGCTGTAAAAGACAAAGACCTGGGAGGGAGGGAGCCAAGAGCCTGGAGAAAGGAGAAGATAAACTAGGGTTCAGGATGGTGTGAAGAGAAGGAAGAGAGAAGTACAGGGAGGGATGCAGACAAAGACCTGGGAGGGAGGGAGCCAAGAGCCTGGAGAAAGGAGAAGATAAACTAGGGTTTAGGATGGTGTAAAGAGAAGGAAGAGAGAAGTACAGGGAGGGATGGAGAAGGGAACCCAGGAGTAGTGAAACAAAAACACTGGGAGGAGGAACAGACACAGAACAGTAGCCTGGAACAGAGAACCACTATGAGGAGGAAAGCAAGAGGGGCTGAAGAGAAGAGGGCTGAGTGGAGAAAGAAGAGGTGGGGAGAGGGGACCAGGATGTGGGTGACAGAGACCAGAAGACAGGAGCAAGGAGATATCCTGCAGCCAGGAGTGTGTGTTGAGGGGGACAAGACAGCAGCAGGCCAGAAGAGCAGAGGACAGAGAGCTCAGTGCCACATACGTTTTGATCATTGCCTTGAGGGCAGCCTTGCGCTCCCGGTCTGCAAACTTGTCCACGAGGTAGCCAGACATACATGGTGCATGACTATAGAGCCGAAAGAAGCGATGGTAGTTGCCCAGGGCCCAGGCTGCCCTCAGCGCCAAGGCATGGGCCATGCAAGGGTCTGCCTTCAGTTCCCGTGTGAGGTACGCTAGCTCCGTGGTGATGTCTGGGACAGAAACAAAAGAAGGGTCAGCTCAGCAGGGCTCAACCCTGCACACCACACCCTTTGGCATCCTGGGGACTGTGCCTCTCACCTCCCGAGTTCTTGGTGAAGATGTAGTAGAGGATCCGGTAGGCAGTGAACTCGCCTACGTTGCCAGGCAAGTTCTCAGCATACAGTGATTTGAGCTGTGTCTGGCACTGGTTAAACTCTTCGTGGTCACCCTGGAGGGCAGAGGGTACAAGAAATGGAAGAGCAGAGTGAAGCCAACAACAAGGGCGGAATGGCTGCAAGGGAGGAAGCCAGGGAGGTCTATGCAGCCCTATGCTTACCTTTTCCAAGGCAATGCGGGCATGGGTCTCATACACCTCCACTGTGAACTCAGTGCGGACACCTTGCACCTGGAGTAGTGGGGAGAGAACAAGAGTCAGGCTGAGCAGGGGCAGGACTGGCAAATGCCAGGGCCCCTCCCAGTGCCCACCGCACCGTAAGATCCTGCCGGATTGACTTCATCTGCTCACAGGCAAAGGCATAGTCTTGCTTCTCTTTCCAGTGGGACTTGACCATGCACAGTGACTTTTTCAAAACCTGGGAAGGGAAACAAATTAAGATTCAGAGTGCAACTTAGGCAAGGAGAGCATGGATATGCTAAAACCCATTACATTGCCACTAAGACCGTGTCTTTAAAATGAGAGTCACAACACAAAACCCACATCAAGTGACTCTCTATACCAAATATTTCTTTTAAAAAAAAGCCACAGTAAGAATATCCCTGAACCCATTTTTGGCATAAACACAGGGCTGTACAGGTGTCCTGAAGTGGAACAGTACCTACATGCCTGTTGTGGACCTCAGTTAAGATGCTCAGGGCATGACCATCCCACTGCCCCACAGACCACATGTCTGGGAAGAAGGCTTTATCCTCCCTATTTCCTAAGTGGGAAAGTGAGGCCACAGGATTCTCATCACAAGTCTGCACATCCTCAACTCCAGGGCTCCAGGGCACAAGTCTGCCACCAGTTCACTCTCAGAAAGGTGACCAGCCTAGATGTCTCTGCCAGGCCATGGTTCCAGGCATGAAGGGCCCACAGGGTGGGGTCTTCCTGGGCCAGGACCCTGCCACACCACACCCTCTACATGGCTCTACCACCCTTCCTGGATTAGCACCATGGGCCTGTGACAGCACCACCTTGCTGAATGGACCTGTCCTGCCTGGGCACTTACTGCCACGGGGCGCACAGTGGAAGGGTCAGGGGCACAGGTGAGACGCAAGTAGTGCTTGGTGATGTCAGGGCAGGTGCCCACGATCTGCAGCTCCTGCCAGTCAAGGTCAGCTCCACTGCTGTCTAGGCTACCCATCTGCAGCACCAGGGGCTCAAGGCGCAGGCGGCGGGAGTGTCCATGCTGGAAGCGGGCTGCCCGTTTCTGCTTCTTCAGCTCACGCTCTGGGTCCTCACACTCCAGTGCTGCCATCTTCTTGCGGCTGCGCTTGGTGGGAGCTAGATCATGTCTAGGAAGGAACCAGGAGGGTGAAGGAGGCAGGTGTCCCTACCCACCCTCTGGCCTCAGACAGCCAGCAGCCAGCTCTCTGCCTCTCTTGCCCTCCTCCTCCTCCCATGGGGCCCCAGCACCTTCCACCCTGGCCTGTGTCTCAAACCCCCACCCAAAGTCTCACCTCTTTCCACGCTGCGCCCTGCCTCGGCCCCGATCCATATGGGCCCCTCGACCACCCCGGCCCTTGGGGGGTGGGTTCCTGCGGCCCACAGGGTGACACTCATTCCCTGAGTAGGAACTGTCGGAATCTGAGTGGGAGTCACTGCAAGAAGAAGTAAGAAGGTCAGTCCTGAAACAATCCCTCTCCCTGAGCCACCCGTTAGCCCAGAGACTTCATACCTCCTGCGGAAGTGGCGAGTCGGGGACCTGGAGGAGGAGCGGGAGCGGGAGTCCGTGCTAGAGGAAGAGCTGTTATCCTTCATGAAGACATTGCGGTTGCCAAACTTAGCGAAGCTGCTGCCCCGGGCTCGGCCAGCACCCCCAGCCCCTGGTGTCCCTCGCTGGGACTGGACACCCCCGCCCCTTGTCGCTGAGCTTGCCCCCCTGGGAGGGTGAAGACTGCTAGGGGCCTCCCACCGCTTCTTCTTGGGGCTCTCAGCCACAGGCTCCCGGGTCAGCCTGAGGATACAGCAGGGTAGGGCATCACCAACCCAGCTGCCACACTGGCAAGATTAGACCCCACCCCACCACCCCATCTACCAGCCCGCCCAGGGACACGCCACCTCAGAAAGGAAAGGCACTTACCCCAGTCGACTCAGCTAATACGGTGCAGAAAAGGGATGCAAACCCAAGGTTTTCTGTGTCCAGAGGGTGCTCTTAACTACTGAGCAACACACACCTCCCTAGCTTCTGTGGTCCCCATCCCAACCCAGGATTCCAACCTTAGAAACTCCTGGACCTCTGCCCCACCCTTCTTGCCACCCTCTAACCCAGAACTTCATTCCCCCAGGATCCAACTTTCTGGCTCATTTCTCTTCGGAGCTCCTGGTACCTAGGACCCCAGGTCTCAAACCCCAGTATCCATGTACCCCCTTCTGTGCAGCACCTCCCTCCCACCCCCACCCCCACCCCC